CTTAGAGGGCACTTATTTACCATCTCAAATGTATTTTAGGATTTTTTTCATTAAATTCCTCTTTTTGTATAAATAATTGAATGTTATGCTACTATTTACAAAAATAAAATCTGAAATCCAATAAAAGATAAGTTTTCTATAATTTTTTCAATTCACAAATGTGATTTTGCCCTCATGATAAGACAAAATGGCCACGGCAGGTAACGGGTTAAATAAGCAATGATAGATTAACTCTCTCAATACAGGCTTGGTTAATTTGACTGAACATGTGACCTTTTTGCACTTGTTCAAAGTCTTTATAAAGTAATACTTATAATTCTCAATATATTGGGTATATCTTCACAAAATGTGGCAGTCTTTCAGTTAAAATCAGAGTCTTTCACATACAAAAAGTCATATTTCTTAGTGAAGTATTTTTCATAAAATAAAATAGACATTTGTCCATGAATATATTGAGTATTAGTTTTGAATAGTCCGTGTGTAAAGTAATTTTCATGTTGAAATAAAAATACTTTTCGTCATCTCAAAAATCTCAAATTTCCTTTGTGTGATCTCTAAATCTGTTATTTTCTCTACCCTATCTCAAAACTGGATAGGACAATTCGACTGGCCTTGTAACCATCAAAATAAAAATAAACCTAAATTAACCTTTTTTCTTTCTAGAATAACTTCAAATTGTAACATGAAACTACATTCGTTTATCCGAAGTAGCTCTAAGTTTGTAACATTATACATCTATTTATAATTAAATTTTATTGTTTTATTGCCCTTTTTATTCCCCTTTGAACCATGTCTAACTACTATCCGAGCCATTATTAGTTGTAAGTCACTTGGGAAACGTGCAGCTCACGTTATACTATCCAATTACATTATCTATGAGCTACTCCGAGATGTTCGCATGTGTGTTTCATAAAATGTTTTTATTATATTATTGTTATTATTTATTATACTAATTATAGTCTTAACTAACCTAAGGAGATCCCAATTTTTACATCCATCATTATATTTACTGCTTCAGGCCAGCATTAGTTTTTGCATACTAATTTATATATAATTATAATGTATGAGCATGTGTAGTTTGTATATACACTTATGTGTATGTGTATTTCTATGTATATTTTTATTTATATACATAGTATGTATGTGTATTTTTATACATTATCAACTCACTCAGTGATCATCAAAAAATTAATTTCAGACAATACACCTGCTAGGGTAGGAGAAATAACTCCTCCACTCAAACCCTGCACAGTCACACTAGAATGTCTTTCTCCAAAAAAACTACCTACTTGTTCTTCATCCTCTCAAAGTGACTGCAGAAGAATGCATAAAGGAAGTGATTTAAAAAAAGATACAGGTTACTATTGTTTATATAACAGAATACCTACTCAAAAACAACTCTCAACATTGAGACAAGAAAAAGTGATCTCATCTTCCTCTGAGGTTTCCGAGAGAGAGTATGATGGATTCAGAAATGAAAAAGACAATTACAGTGATGCTGACATTTCTAATAATAACAGTGCAGAAGTGGATAGTGTAAAGGAAATAGAGAGAGCTGATGTTCTTGTGAGGAGAAAAGAAACACCACTATATTTTAGAGAAAGTTCAGATATTACTAAAGAATTTTCTGTTATTGATGGTCATACTATTCAGGCAGATGTATCTTTGCATGGTGTTAACTGCTTTGATAAGTTACATCTCATTGATCGTAAATTGTTCTTAGAGTTTCTGGAATTCAAGAAGAGAAAACATGGACAAAAGATATTCTCAGGCTATGCTGACAGCAGGAGTGTAACTTCAATCCACACAATGCAGAAAGTAAGCACCCTTAGAAATGAACAGTGCTGTAGTGTCAAGGAAAGTGAGAATATTGTAAATGTAAATAATGAAAGTGACATAACATTAGTCTCAAGTGATAATTCTGTCACTAAAAAGCCTGATCTTCAAATCGTTCATATTTTGTCTGATGATGCTGAAAATTATGTAAATGTGGATGATTCATCAGTATCCTCTGTTCAGATTCTTCATACTAAAGAAGTGGAAAATAGAAATATTTTTACAGTGAAACCAATGAAAACTAGTGCTTTTTCTAATGATAAGGTGAAAGGAGATGAATGTTTTGTGGCTACAACTTCCTCACTGTCAAAAGAACGTCAAGGACTAACAGAACAAAGTTTTTTTTTTAAAAGAAAGAAATACAGTGAAGAAGCAAATTTAACTGGAACCATTAATGTGTTTTTAGGGCAAGAAGAAACAATGCAAAATGAGTCAGTGAAATACAATGTCAGAAGACCTGATTTGGAAAAAGTCATAGGCTACAAAAAAGAAACGAGTCCCTTAAAAAATAATATTGTAGATGATAGATCCAGATTACCAAATATGAATAAGTCACCTTTATTATGCACAAGTGTAAAAGTCACTAAAAAAAGTAAGAAAAAAAATATTGATGGAAAAACATTCAGTAGAAAAAATTCTAATAGAAAAATAAAACTACACAATGCTGAAGAAACATGTATAATTCTAAGGAAGAAATTTGATTTTATGAATACAAAACTTTTTTCAAAAAAATCTGAGGTTTACTCTTCAGAGAAGTGCATGAAAGATTCAGATATTAGTCAGAAAAAAAAAGATGTGACTTTTAAAAATGGCATAAATAATATTACACAAAACCTTACAGGTACATGGTTAGATGCAAATATAACAGAAATAGTTGAAGCAATTGTTGATGAATCTAATGTTTGTACATCTCTAATTGGTCACTGTTCACAAGCCTTAGAGGTTGGCAAAAACCTTGAAAAATCCATTTCTACTTTGAATAAAAACTTTCCAAGGTATGAGACAGAGGTTTTAGGCAGTACTGAAACTGATCCATTAAATACACAGAAGAAAGAAACACCATTAGTAAGTAAAACTACTATGACTGTGGAAAGTGATGGAGTAAAAAAAACAGCACATCAAGCCTTGTTATCTAGTTTAAATGATAACTGTCAGTTCAAAGAAATAACAGATATAAGGGAGAGGAAAACTAGATTTCCTGAAAAGAGTGAGAGTGATTTTAAAGTTGTTGAAACGGGCCAGAGTAAAATAAAAGAGTTTAATGAAAAGCAAATAAGATTAATTACTGAAGATAAAATTGTGACAAGGCTCAGAGACCCAACTCCAGACATAAACATTGATATATCTCCTGGTAAGTCTGATAGCTTTTTGGGAGATACATTTTTGACAATTGATATGGTAGAAGATCATGACTGTTATGACAGAAATTGTTCTTCTGGCAGATTAGCTGATTTAGAATGTCCATCAGGTGTGGCTCTTAATTGTTACTCGGAGTTGACTTTACCAGAACATGTGAGCTCCTCTCAAAGCTTGATCACTGCACAGAAGGAATCAATTATTAAATATTCAGAGAATATACCTAAACGTTCTACTGTTGAAAACCCACACTATAATAGTGAGCTATCTAGAAATGTCAAAATGAAAAAAACTACAGTTAATGTGGGAACACCTGAAGGATTTCCAATGGGCTCATCTTCTGTCAGGAAAAATTTGCAGACAATTTCTCAAAGCAGCATATTTTCATCTAAAGATATTGCTCAAAGCCTAAGAACATACAGTAAAAATTATCAGATAAAAATAAAAGAGAAGGAAAAAATGGGATGCATGGATGATAATCCTGTGGTTTCATCCATAGGCAGAGGTAATCATTTAAATCCAGTCAGGAAAGGACAACTTAACACTGAAGATTCAAACATGATAGAAGTAACAGAAGATAATCCCAACGATTCTACTTCTGTTACTAATGCTGGATTAGTAAGTAACAAATTTGTATTATCTCAACCCAAAAGATTCTCAGAGAAAAATAAATCACTTCAAAATCTCAATACTGTTACAAAAATACCCGATTATAAAATTCCAAATAATAATAGAATGTTACATAATAAGAAATTGATAAAATGTAACATTGCTCTTTCAGAGAAAAAAATTGCAGACTGTGAAGAGAAACCTGTGAAGCCAGAAACTTCTAAAAATGAGGAGTTGATCACTACCACTGATGTTGAGCTAGAAAACCAAAAATATTCTGTTTCAGCAAAAGCAGTTGCTTTAAGCTGTTCTAATCCTCAAGTAGATTTTTTCTTATCTTGTGACTCGGAAAATAAAGAGGATGAAGGCTGTTTATATCTAGATTCATCCAAGTCACAACAGCATCAGCAATACTCTCCTAAGTCAGTTTCAGAAAGAAGACAGACAGCTGTCAACTATACATTACTACCGTTTTCAAGTGTTACAAAAGAACAAAGAAATACAACAAATTTAGATATCTGCCAAATCACATTAGTATCTGAAAACTTGTTGAAAGCAGCCATTAACAGTGAAAGTGTAGAAAACTTGCAAAAACATTCTCATTATGATAATCAAGGGACTTGTGTCAATGATAAATGGAATTTATCAAGTATTACTCATGAAGGGTTGTGTTCTGAAGTTCATTGCATACATATGACAACCAACAAAGATAACTTAATAAAAACATTTGAAGAAAACCTGTCATCTATAGAAAATAACATGCAAAATAGATTTCAAAATGGCACTGAAGTTTCATCAAATGTGGAACAAGAACCAAATGATCTAAATTCTGAAAGTGAATTTTTGGTAAATATGTCTTGTAAATCGGCACATAAATTGTTCTTCACTGATGATGAAAATGAAAATTGTGATAATGATGACTCACAACAGACTGCTAACTCCCTGAGGAAATCATCTCCAACAGTGACCCAAAATAAGTTTAAACAGCAAGCTTCTTCAAACTTAGAATATTCTGAAAAAATCTCTAAAAAAAAAGATCTTTATAAGACCCCTGAGTCTGTTCAAGAATTACATACAACAAATGCTATGCCAGAACCTGAATTAAAAAATATTTATGAAAACCAGTATGGAGTTGGTACACCTGTTAATTTCGGAATGTTTAAAAGTGTAAACCTCTCTCCTGTTGTGAAGATTAAACGGCTTCCATTTTCTGTGATAAAGTCAATTGTAGTAAAATCTGCAGACAGCACACAAAAGAAGACATCACTGAGTATTTCTAGTAGTAGCCCTACTAGTGGTAGTTTAAAGTCTGTTGACTCTGAAACAGAAAGCTGTTGTTTTTCTAAAAAAGAGAGTAAAAGAGACTCACATTTTAGTGAGAGTTGTAAAAGTACAGATGACAAAGCTAATGTGCCTGGTTCTTATTTATCTGAAATTTCACAAACAAGACGAACCTGTGACCACTTGTTGTCTTCTTCAGTATTTAAAGAAAGACAAAGTAATTTTAGTGTTTTAAAGCAAAAACTATCATTTGCAGAAGGTATGATTTCAGAAGATGTGAAGAAATGTACAAGTTACTCCAAAAAGTCAGAACTTGACATACCTAATGTTAAGTCTTTAGACATGTATAATATACAAGCCACAATAAGGAGCAGTGGAAACAACCATAGCACAGAAGTTTCACCTCCTAGACCACCACTGAATAATGTAGGATCATTTTACCTTGATGAGTTGGATACTGAAATACTTGATTATGAACCAGAACCTCAAGATGTAAGCTTAGAAGTAGCTTCAATCAGAACCTTAGAATTTGAAGAAGATTTGATGATATCAGGACTAGGTTCCCATAGAAATGAAAAAAGAGAAAACTTTAAAATTGATGATCTGACTAATTCAGAAGCCTCTGAAGTTGAATGTCTTGAAACAGATAAATCAACCACAAAAGATATTGAAAGATATATGAAGACTAACTTAGATACTGGTACTGAGGCTCAGGCAAGCTCAGAAAGCATAGCAGTTGCAGATGAGGAAAACACAGATAGTGAAAGTGGAATATTTCAGTGGATAAAGAAAAATCAACAAAGAAATAACCATAAAACTATTCTTAACACAAGACACCCTAATGAATTTGCACAAAAAGTTGATACACAAATGCTCCTAACAGAAAATCACTCCATGAATCTTCCAACTGATGATGTAGGTGTTGATGAGGAAGATACCCTTTCACTTTGTCCCTGTTCACCTTCAATTTTAATGGAAGATTTGAGTAATAATGAAGAAGAACCTCATGACAGGTAAAATTGTGTCAGTTAATTTATTAAAGCTAAAAATGTTTTGAATAAACACTTTAAACTTGTTATATCTTCATTGGTGAGAATATTTTAAACAACTGTAGAATTCCAAATTGAAGCTTTGAAAGTGTTCTGAAGTTCATGTTAGACAAACTATAAATTAGGTTTTATTTAAAACCTGAGTTTCATAATCATTTTTTATGAGTTAAGAGTTTATAAGTTTACTTATTAATTTCTTAACAAATTTTTGAAACATTATGTTATGGAGGTTGTTCCAAAAGGAATTTCTGAGAATTTATGTTAGTTGGAAAGTACATTTATTCATTCATGTGTTACTTATTATTCATTAATTTTTGTGCAGTGGGCTGAGAATTATAGGTATATTACATCAGAATTGGTGCTGTAACAATAGGAAATTGTGTCTTATCACCCATGACCTTTTCCCATCACCCTTCTGAATTAAATTCACCAGTTTATTTGCCTGGTGTTTTCTTCCCTTTCTCCTGATGATTGGCACTTTTGTTCATGTTTTCTCCCCTTCAGATCTGTCATTTTACCATGTCCCTGCTGCACATTTTCACATTTCCTTTGGGGGATATCATCAGTGCTGTAATTGTTTATCTGTGGTGGTAAGTACTCTGTTCATTTTTCTTTGCAGGGCCTTTTTCACATATTTGAATCCCACTTTGTGGTGAGTGTTGTCTAACCAGGTATACTTAGTCTTAAATCTGCACTGTACGACCTGTGAACATGATGCTAGATGAGTGTGATGTTGAGACTTTTCCCACGGTCATTCCAGTGATAATTTTACACCAACTATTGAGATGGGGTGTACTTCAGGACCTCTCGTAGGTGTACCTTGCAGTCTTCTGCTTCATAAATACATTTGTCCCGGACTGTAAACTCATGGTCTTATATAAATAAAGCAGAAAGATTTCATTGCTCACCCTACCATGGACCTGATGTACAATTCCAGATGCCACCAGGTGTTGGATGATGCCCTCCACCAATGTGATTGTTCTGCTTTTCATTATAAGGTATTGTGGTCACCCATTGTCTCCAGTGTTTCAGTCTTCTAGACTGTCCAACACATTATTTCCTTCCTCCTTTTAGTAGAGTATGAGAATCCTTGCCACTTACCAATTCCTAGCTACTGGGATGGTGGACCATGGAGGCCTAGATGATAAGTTCCCAACACTGTGAGGTTTTGGACTGGAGATACTACCTAGACTTACAGTCCTTTTTCTTACCATCTGCTGGATGTTGGTTCCTGGTGGATTTGGTGTTGGTTGTAGCTGTATGAGATACATGACATCCTGCCTGTGTAAGGCTGGGTATTATCCTCCTACTGTAGACTGGACAACAGAATTCCCAATGCTGCCAGGTTTTGGACCAGAGATGAACATCAATTTGGGCTCTCCTCTTTCCTACCAACTGCCGAATGTCGGTTCCTAGTGGATCTTGTGTTGGAGGTGCGCACATGTGGAGACAGGTTCTTGGTATAGGAGCTTCTTATTCCTGCTGGTACTCATTTTTGAGATGAAAGGCCTGATGGCCTGATGTACAATACCAGATACTGCCATGTGTTGGTTGAGGTTGAACTTCCATTTACAGACTGTTGTGCCATAGCAACTCTACACCAGGGAGTCCCATTATTTCTGTATATTTTTGGGACCCCTCCCAGTTCCCACCCTTTATATTTTGACGACACATTACTCAAGGGCGAAGAGTATACCTGGTTCAGAAGTGATGTGGTTTCCCACTGGGCTGTTGTTTATAATTCCTTTAATTCAGAAATACATTTCAGTTTAGGAAAATGTTAACTTTCATGAATATCTTATCAAGATAGACAGCTCATACACTGAACTTGACTCAAGTAAAGTAAGTAACTGTGGACACTAAAGATACAATGTCTTATTGAAACAGTGTTAACTCTAGTGAAAAAATATATGCTTGTCATTCTTAGCCTAATGATGTAGGTAAAAGTGGGTCAGAGGAGCAAACTGATAAATACAAGGGGTTGATAAAGGCATTTAAAGAGAAAGGCCGTTACTTAATTGTATCAAAGATACTGCCAAGAATTAATTGTGTGGATGAAATTACGAGTAGGTATCTCGGACTAAATGCTAGGCTTAAGTTAATATGTAAGGATGAGCAGATTGTGGATGGTGTAAAAGAGGACATTGACATGTTTTTGCTTCAAAGCCAAGTGATTTC